GTCGATGTCGTTGAGTACATGGAGGATTGTACTGTAAACATGACTTAAATAAAGTTATTCGATGAGCGATACGAGACAATGATATCATTTATTATATTCAACATCAAGAGTCGCAATATTATAAAGCAAATTAGATATATAAAAGAATTGCAGGAACAAGTTCACAAGAATATCATGATTAATTTCTATATTAATAATTTTTAGGCAACATAGCACACATAATGTCGACAAATTTGCTTTAAAAATTGGCAAATGCTTGCGAGATGAACATCATAAAAAATACGATTGACACAGATGTACGCTTTTACATATTTTCTGTAGCTTCTATTATGCCATAATTTTTCTATCTGTTTATCGTGCTTTTGCTTTCAAATTTTTCGCTGGCAATCGCAAGCGGACCCACCGCTCCGGGCTTCAACACCTGATGATTCGGCGTAGCGGCGAGCGATCCTCCACCCTTTTGTTTCTGTGCGGCGTCATACAACTGCTTCTGCATCATAGCCAAAGAAACTTTATTCGCGGACAGGAATTCCTTCATGGAGACCAGTTCGCCCGACATCCTGCGAGGCGTCTCTGAGTTATCCTGCGCCCTGATCGAGTCCCTACTAACAAGCCTGTTCGGCCTCCTCTTCGAATAGTATACGGTAGATACAGAGGACTGTCTCCTTGGTAAATACGGTGCCGCTACATTCCGATTACCGTATTGTAATTTATGTATCACGTAATTCAGGCCCTGCTTTATTACGATCGATGTGACGTTCAGCAAGGAGTATATACAGCAACATCCCACCACGAGGAAAACAAAATTCGTGAATCTATACCTGCATATATGAAGAATAAAACTGCTGTATATTTATTTGCGTTTTCAGAGCTTTAATGCGAAAAGCTACTGGCGCGTCTTAGTTAAAGAAAAATCACAAATTTGTTAGAATCTTTCATTGAAAGTTTAGTTTACAGAAATTCAATTTGCGCCTTGAATAAATTATACGAATTCGATTTCGTTTTGGCGAAACAATCTTCGCAATCTTACCAATGTACGTAAGGATAGTTTGGCTGTTGCGTGCTAACGAAGTCGCCGAAGCCGATAGTGGTGAAGCTCACGAAGGCAAAGTACAGCGCGTCGAAGTAATTCCAGCCCTCCAGCGGCGCGTAAAGTGCAGCGGCACAACAGGCTACGATGCAGGAGGTGACGGATAAATAGAACATGACCCAGTACACGCTCGGTTTCCATTGATCCAGGTTCACATGGTCGTCGTCATCGTCAAGGATGTCCGGCAGAGATGTTCTCTGGGTGCTCGACGATTTGGGGATCCGTCGGGATGTCAATGTAGTCTTACGGAGACGTCTTCTCAATCGACGTACATGCCAGCTACGCAAGATCCACGCCAGGAGAGTAATGATTCTCTCCAAAAAGAGATTGAAGAACAAGATGCCGCCTAAATTATTACTTAATGTTAGGATCAAGTAGCTTCATTAAGGTGCCGTTCCACTAATGTAACATTAACTTTAATCGGTTTAATTTATTATTTATATTTTTGTATTCGTATTGTGTGTAGAGTAAATTGAACTGAGATCGAAATTAATCTTATATAGGTGGAACTAAGCCTATGTAATGTATTTAAGTTTTCATTCTAGATTCATGAAATTTTATTTTGTATTATTACAACTAGATTATTTTTAATATTGTTACTTATGATTTTTTAAGACATCTTGTTGTTATTAAGTATAAATGTAGATTTTTTATTATTACCGGAACAACCGAAGAAACCATAAAGAACAACTGCCGCTTTACCCGCCGTTGTCTGGGGTGCGGTGCTTCCGTATCCTACAAAGTAATTTCAGTATCACGCTTCTTTCATTTCAGAAATATATTACACGACGACGAATGCACACATATATAGAGATCGACGACCAAAGGACAAGCCAGAGTTGTGTGGATAAGTGCAAGACTAGGTCGCGGGATATTAGCATTCTGGAATTCACCAGAACATTCTCATGCATACACCGGCCGACGACCCTTATCCCCTTACTTAACGTCATTATGACCAAGTTTTGCCGAGGAATGCGATCACCTCGACAAAACTTTTCTCTATAGTGTATAAATACGCGGTACATCGCGAAGTTATTAGTACTCGAAGAGTATAAGAAATTAAAAAAAAGAGCAATTATTTAATTATTTGAGGTACGATGGTCCCTTTATTTTTTTATTTATGTTATATAAATGATAAATTTATTCCAGAGTATAACCGAAGATCATACAATTTTCTTTCATTTTAAAAATAAAAATCCGAGAAATAAGATTATGTAACTTAAATTTAATCCGCTAAATTCACGAATACTGATTAAAATTAATAAGAATAATTGTAATAAAAAAATTTTGACTTTTACAGATATTAAGATCTCGAGTGCGGAATCGGGCAAGAGCGTCTTCTTGAAAGTCGATTTGTTTCGCGACATCGTGAGAACAAGGAACTAAAAAAGTATGAGGGAGCAAAGTGCTTGACATGAATCCGGTAAATCCTACTGACCCAGATACTCTCGGCTACGTTGTGGATACGGATGATTAGTAACTGGCATTCCCATTATAGTATATTGCACTATGTTTCTTACCGATCGTAGAAACTATGGTGCCAACGAAGTGAAAGCTACCGGGAAAGTCCCAGCGGCGTCTCTTGTTAATGATGCCGGTAGCGGAAGCGTTGCCGTAGGCATATAGCAGCTCGTGCAGCCTCTGCAAGGCCAAGGGGCTACCTCGCAGGTGGTGCTTCCGAAACGTGTGATAGACCCGCCAGAATTCTGTGGCCTATGCGCATCACCAAAAAGTATCAATAAATATAAGAATCATCTGTTTTAATTCGGGAATAAACATTTTGGATATCTTTATACTTCTGCGACTAAAAAATATGAATTATAAAGTATTAAATACCAATGAAAAAATAATCGTAAAATTATAGAGACGTCAGATTTAAAACACTGAAGGACTCCTGATTTAAACGCAATAAAAAATGACAATAAAATGAGGTCCGTTAAAAGTCGGCATGGTAAACGGAGGGTAGTAAATTAATACAAAAATTCATAACTGTTCGAAATGTACAGTTTGTGAATAAATTTTTAATTGAATTATTAAATGAATTTTTGTATTAATTTATTGCACTCTGTTTATCGCACCGACTCCTAATGGCTCTCATGTTATTGTTCTTTTCTGTTTTAAAATATTGTTTTGAATGGATATTATTTAACGTATTATTTAATAACTTCTTTACTAACTTTTAAATATGTAATTCCTTCGAAAACCCGCAAATACTAATTAGGATGTAAAAACACCAGATGATTGTTAAATAGTTTACGTAAAAAAAATCAGGTGATTTTACTCTGAGATTGAATATAATTCTTCAATCCTGATTTGTAGATTTCATAATAATAGTATATTTATCGATCACGTACAAAAATACACACAAAATTCATTGATTCATTTGATGTGAATTACACTTGATGATAATTTAGAAAGAGAAATTTCAATTTTCTTCGTATAAAGATCACTGTAATCTCTTAATTTTAATTTAAGAGACATTTTCTCGATCTGTGATTCCTTACTTTATATTTCTTGTAAGAATTATAGCGGAAGTAAGAGTAATTTTATGTATATATATATATCCGGATACATTTTTTGTACCTGTCGTATCTCGAAATCGCTTTCCAGCCTTTGAAAGAGGGCCGCGCCTGCGAGCATGTACGCTGCCAGGACAACGGCAAGGAGGATAATCCTGGCGTTGTCCTCCGCGAGGCCTCCGCACAAGCACATCACCGGCGACTCATCTTTCCGACAGCCGGTGGCTGCTACGTGCGATCCCCACCGTGCTTTTCATCCGGTGCGGCGCAAGCTCGGCGGCCGCGAAGAATTTATGAAGAAATACAGAGATGCGAGATGAACAGTTCAAAGAATATCTTCTTTTCAACGTATACAGACAAATGAGTATAAACGATCGGTTAGAGAATGTTACTGTAGCCAATTAATTTTCTTTTCTAAAAAAAATTATTCTATTAATTCTGTTATGTAGATAGCTTCGGTGTAAGTAATTACTCAAGATTTTAATTTCCAAGTGTTTTTAAGTTTGTGCGAGAGATATAGTAAACAGCGAAGAAGATAAAATTGATCGAAGCTAGATTGGAAAATATCCTAATTGCCTCGCATTGACACGATGGTACTAGACGACGTAGCAGGCAGCCGAGATGTATGTGGGGCAATCCAACGCCCGCACCATTGAAAGCAAATCCTTTGATGAGATAAAAATAGAAATATAAACACTCGCTTGCGTATTCATAGTGTGAATTTCACCGAGGGGATGTCCTTTCGCGGAAAGCGGCTCCGCGCGGCGGATAATTACCTGGCTCATGGCGTTTGCGAAAAAGGTGAATGTTAAATTACAACTTTACGGATTACCGATATCTTCAATTTTGTCAATTAAAAAGTGAATTGGGTATTTTGAAAATACTGTAAGTCTAATTTTGAAAATTTCGTTACAATTGGAATGCTAGAAAAGATATGAAAGCTCTCTATTTGTAAAATAATTTATATATATTGCTTCTCAAAGTATTTACAGCAAATTTTCGATGAAAAAGGAGGAGGAAAAGAGCGAGACCAACAGTAAATAAATCGTAGACGTTATATAGTAAAAATACTTTGTTAATAGACAATCTGCGAAAATTACATTTACATAAATAGATACTATCAGTATTCTCATATCGAGATTATTTTTTGTACAATCGTATAAAAATCTACATAAAATATCGTTTACATTACCCTGGTGAACAAATTTCTCATAATTTCTCGTATTTTTCAGAATTTGTCATATTTTAAGTTTATAAAAATTGCTGAAAAAATATCTTGAACTTTTTCAGATTTTACAAGTTTTTTTAAAAAATTATACAAAAATTCTGAAATTTATATAAAAATTCTAAATAATTGTATAAAGAATTCTAAAAATTTTCACCAAGGCAGGTCTGTTCTTTGTTGCTGAACTAATATACACTTTATGTTGTACTTAAAACGAAATAGATATATATTTAAAGTTTGGCGAAAACGAGATAGAAAGTCTTACAATTAGTGTAATTCAGTGCAGCAATAAAGAGCAGGCGTATTATCCACTATAATACTATCTTTACGTCGTGTATGTTAGAGCTTATTGTTACATATTAACAGCGCTCCAAAATTAACACAGTTGTTTTCCCGGCACAATCATTAATGCCTCGCTTGCGGACCTTCTTCCAATTTCCGCCAAACGACCTGAAAAGGAAAAAAATTAATTAACGTAATGAACATGTCATATCACTTGTTTCACACGAAAGAGGAAGTTTTTTCGAGGGAGTTTTACGCGATGCAAATCGTCATAAAATAATCGTATTTCAAGAAGATTTCTTTTCTATTTAAAAGATATTTTTTCAAAGTGAGACCGTGTTGTAATAATTACGTGTTAATCGAGGAATGGCACTTTACTTACATTGCACATTTCTCTAACTAACGCCTTTTCACCATCATGACCTTCTTCTCTTTCCAGTTGTTCTCTGACCTCGAGAACTTGGAGAGCACGCACTACGGCCTCCGGTCGGCTTCCTAAGTGAGTATTGTCGTTCGGGCTTGCGGGACTGTCCCAAACTTCACCTGATGGTAGCACTTCCCAACCTTGCGCTCTGGCCTGAAGAACACTCTTGTCTTCTTCCAATTGCTTCACCCGTTGCTCCAAGCTCCTCACGTATTGCATTGTTTGGTCTGCAAGAGATTCGCAACTGAATCACTCCGAAATACCAGAAGATCATTAAAATAATAACTGTAACGTATACTTTCACATATATGATTACGCATACTCTTCATTCGACGACAGTAAGCACTTATTTGCACAGTATTCATTTATCACGTACCATACTAATATTACATAAACATAGACAGCGATTTGTTTAAGAAAAGATTTCATTTTCTATGAAGCTTTCATTTTCTTCGAATTATGATTATTATATTCTTCTAATATCAAATTAAATTAAAATTATACTTGAGGATTATTTCCTTCCGCATAAAAAAAATGTTTGCGTTTATTGATTTAATACAAGAGGGAGAGAAAGAGAGAGAGGTCTGCATTTTTTACTAGATTATACCGTTAAATGTGGAAGTGTGTCTCGGCCTCGGCGGCGCAGTCTCCTCGGCGTTCGTGCTCGAACTCGACCCGTCGCCGTCGTCCCTTTGACCACCACCGCGTTCCTCATCGAGATATAGACATAGTTCCTTGAGCTCCAGATTGTCTTTAATTAATTCCTGCTGTTTATTGTCCAGTTGACGTAACTTATTCTGATAAGCCGAGACTTCCTGTCGCATAACGCTCACTGTGTATCGGCCAAACCTCTGCCACTCTCTCGCCAGCTTGCGACCCTTTTGACGATCGTCGTCCAAAAAGCAGCAAAGATCGCGCAATTCCTGGTTATCGTCGTTCAGTCTTTGGTTGGCTTCTTTCAGCAACCGCAGCTCATTCAGCTGGAAAGTAGATAGCTTTGTTAAGTCGCGTTCATTTTAGTTACAATCTTCTTTCAAATTTTGTATTGTTATACACAATGTCTATAAATATGTATACAAATGGGTTTAGATACACGAAAACTATCGAGAACATTTTGATTATTTTGTTAATGGATTGCAAATTATACCAAAGTTTATCATAAATATTATCATAAATAACTTCAATTATTCAAAAAATTTATAATCGTTAATAGTTATTTAAATATATCCTAGTCTCTTGTATCTAGATTTTTATAGATGATAATGACAGATTTTCCATTCAGCCGAATATCTTTTGTAATCGATTGTAAATTGAATCAAAATTTGTTATCGTAGATAACTATTCAAAAATCTATTTAAAGGATTTATAACTATAAATAGCTATTCAAATATATTGTTTTTTTAAATCTAGATTTTTTACAGGTGATACCGATATATCTTCTATAACCGAATATGTTTTGTATTATTAATTCGCGTGCCTGTAGTGAGAGAAATAACAGAGTCATTGATCGCCGCAGATGACGCATTCGCACCGCGGTACACGCCGATTGCTGAGAAAAAGCCTTTCACCTATTCATCACACGTGTGCGAGCCATGCGTGACCAATTTCGACCGCGTACTTTTGGCAAGCATTTTGCTGGCCAGAGGAAACCGATTGTCCGCGCGATCGTTTGCGGTTTATCTCACGTATGCGTGACTGTTTGAAATTACGACGGTTCAATCTGTGTATGACCTACAAGAGCCCCTCAAAAACTTCCGTATAGCGTGCTAAAGATTTCAAGGACAGCAAACAGCATCCTACATCTCGAAGATGTAACGAAATATTGTTAACGTAACGTTTTATTGATATCGTGAGTTATGTATATCACGACCTCCTAAAAAAAGCGCCAGATTTTCTGGTTCTTTGCAAGACAAGTTCTATTTGCAATTTAGCTTCTGGTTAATGATTAGAAATTGTAGCAGATTTATCGCAAACCGTTATATAAAAACGATAGTAAACGAAATTCAAAATAAAAATAAAACGAATGATACGTATGAATAATTATTTATAGATTGCGTTTTACAGTTACGACATTCTAAGTAGAGTTCAACAGGATATTAATTTAGGTCTCCTAAAAATATACGAATAACATTAATCCTTACCGTACTAATATGGGTAACTAGTGACCGAGCAATTCCTGTTCGTGCAAATTTCTCTTTGAGTCTTTCGGTAATTATAAATTATACATTTTATTATTTTCCAAAATAAAGAGTCAATATTTATTCTAGAAAGTTGAAAGTATGTTGGTGAATTTTTAGAGATTTTTTGAATTATTTTGAAGAGGTGAAAAAACGAAGAGATTCTAATGACCCTTGATAATATGGATGAGGCACCAAATTGTACATAATACGGTAAGGGTAATTTTAAAAGTTTAGAAATTCTCTCCTAATTTAAGTTTGTATTCAAATAATTTATGAAGGTAAAATTAATATATCGCATAGATAATTACAACAGAAAACTTTTCAAATTATATTACTGAATTATCGAGTTCCAAGTCCGACATCATGTATGAACTTGTACGATTAAATCTCGTTAATTTTTCGGTCATTTATGTTACACAAAATTACAGAATCCACCAAGGAGAACTCACCAAGTTCTGTATCTGGCGATTCTGCTCGGCGGCGAGCCTAGCGATGTCACTCTCGGTCTTCCGCACGAACTTAAGCATCTCCACAGGGCCAAGTCGCAGAAATTCGTCGTCGCTGATCCTCTGCCTGACCGGCGCGCTCTGGCCGTTGTTCACTGCCGGATACTGACTGCTGGGTGGCAAGTATTGACCTTGGCCGAGCTTAGGCTGTTGGAGGTAGGTAGACGGCTGCGGCTGTTGTTGATTCTTAGACGCTGCCGCCGACGCGGCGGCGATCAGCGGGTTACCCTGTTGGGGATGATGATGATGATGCTCTATCCTCGGCGAGTACTTGCTCTGCGCATCCTTCGATGGTGGCTGCTGCTGCGATTGCTGCTGTGATTGAGTTGGCTGCTGCAATTGATGCTGTTGCTGATGATGCTGCGAAGACGGCGGGGGCGGCGGCAACGTGCGCGGCTGCGTGGTCTGATGATGGTTCAAGGCCGCGCCCGGACCTTGATTACTGCCGGCCTGAGCCAAGCCTGGCGCCGATGTACCTCCGTTGGTGAAGTGTAGATGGTTCTTCAGGATGCCGCTGGTAGGCTGCGGCGGGGGCTGATAGCGCGGCGGCAGTTGGTCCACTGACTTGATCACGTGCGGAGGATGCTGCTGCTGCTGCTGCTGTTGCTGCTGATAATGCTGCGGCTGCGGCTGCTGCTGCTGCTGCGACTGGGACTTACTCTTATTGGACATCGCGGCTAATTTAGCTCCAGGCTGTGCCGTGTCCCATTTCAGAAAGTCCGCCGCAGCCTCCTCGCGCCGGTTTGACCCGCCGAAATCTGGGTCAGCGCGCGATCTCTCACGAGTGGCAGCGGCGGCGGCGGCGGCGGGCCCGGTCCGCGCGACCGGCCCCGCGCGATACATACGTTCCCTCCACCGACACCCGGGCCTCGCCTTATCGCCGTAGGGGACCTTGCTCGCGCGCTACTCTTTCGACGACCGATTTCTGCGTTCTCCTTCTCTTCCTCTTCTTCGGCTTTTTTGCCTCCTACTCGTATTCGCCTTCTTTCGCGCTTCTTCTTCCGAGTGCACCTGTTGCCAGCGGCAAATCTTACGAAAGAGCCTCGTCTAGCGAGAATCACATCACTTATTATGATTCACTTACAGTCCGTTGTTTTTTTCAGCGTTAGTTAATCTCAACTTTCTATTCGCATTGCAGACCGTGGCTCAGAAAAGACAGAGCAGCAATTATGATCCAGGTAACTTTATATCCAACGATCAACTGGAGATGAAGAAATTAGACGCTAGTCGTTTCTGCGAAGTTACCATCACGATTGAGTCATTCACATCCGTATTTTCCAAGAAATTGTACCAATTCACAATGCACTCTGAAAGAACATCATGTTAAATCGCATTAACATCCCGGAGTTAAATAGATCATCGTAAATGAAAGCAATTATTGGAGCATTCACCAATGTTGGTCGAATGTCCGGATATATTCAGTGAGTACGTTTTCTTGTATAACTGCTGCTCACTTTCGAGACCACTATCACCGCAATGCTCGGCTCTACACGCGTCAGCGTTGTAACAGTCGCACAATCGTGGCCTTCGCGTACAACTTAAGCAGCATGCTGCTCACAATCGACATACCAGTCTCTCATACCACTAATCCCCGCAGTAACACCGATTCCCCTCTATCAGCGGTCTACGCGTCTCCCGTCTCTCTGCGGCTTGGGCGCCCTTCGCTTCAAGTGTACCGTGGGTAAGCGAAGCACGAATTGTCGTATCAATTCTCCTCTCGCAATGCTCACACGGTTCCCTTCTCTTTCTTTCGTTCTTTTCCATACACCACAGATTCCAGTGAGGCGAGTATCATACCAATTTGGTTCTCGTTAAAAGATACACTCCGCTCTTATCCTCGTTCGCAGCGAAGATACACCAATTTCCGTCTATTAGCAGCGCGTTCTCCACCTTCACCTCGGATGCACGAATACTGTTGAATGTAGACCAAGTTTACAGTCCCTTTTTATCAGCATTAGCACTGCAAATCCAAGCGTGTAAAAAGTGGCTTCAATATATGTCTTAGTTTTCCATTAAAATAATACATTACTTTACATATAAATATGAATCAACACATTTAAAATTATTAATAGGTTTTAAGATACTATCAGCATCAGATTATTAAGATCTTTCTAAGATGTCCATGAGCAACAATATTATTAAATTGCTTGTCAATTTAATGATTGATATTACTATTCCAGTTCTGTTAGAATAATTGTGATTCAAGACTGAAAATTAAATTCGGAGTTTACAGGATTAGATATAAAGTATATAAATTCAAATCGAATTATTTAAACATTAAAGATCCAGTTTGATCGGTTAGGATTTTTATTTTCTATTTGTCGTGTATTACGGTCTTAAATACTTTGTTTAACATTTAAATGTGTGATATAGTGTCATTTTCACACGGAGAACTAAATAACACACATAGGTATATAATTGAAGTCATTTTTTACACACTTGGATTTGCAGGGCGTGCGTCACACCTTCACGTGCCTCACCTCTTGCTTCGCAGGAAGAATAAACACTCCGCCCTGTCCAAGCACTGTCTTGTCACGTTGGCTTCCAGAAACACAGATCGTTCGCCACTCAGAGACCGGAGCAATTCCGATCCGCGTAGTCTGTCACCGTCCCGTCGCAGGCGGCGCGAGAGATGTCGAGTCGACGGAAGGAAGCCTGCTACGTGTCCGCGAGACGCCGTCGCCGTCGTCGTTCCACCTGACTTTCGCTCCCTGTCCCCCTTTGTCCCCCTGCACGCCCTGGCTGGCCCGCGGCCTCATAGGAGACGCGCATTCCGCGCTGTCATCCGACCTGCGCGTCGAGCTCGTCGTAGTCCGGGCGCACGTCCGAGTACGACTTAGCGGTCGCCGCGGCACGACCGCCGTGGCTGCACTCCGTGCTGGCAATGCCCTGGCCCGCTCGCTCCTCGACGGCCGCCGCGCGCCGGGTCCCCGTTTTTCTCGCCGGCGGGCCGCATTTCACGGGATGCCCAGTGCCGTCTTCACCCGCCCGGGCCCACGTTGACGCGTCTTCAACAATCTCCTTGCGCAACGCGTTCCCTCGTACGATCGTCGTTATTATTATCGTTGAGAGTCCCTTTTCTGATGTACGATACCTTCAGTCTATTACTTTTATTATTTTCGAAGTTTGGCTCAAAATTGCGGAGTCCTCTTCCTGCTCTTACTTAGCAATTTATTGGTTAAACGTTGGGATATATTGAGCCAATATTAGATTAATATTGTGCCAAAAAATAGGTTTATTCTTCTGTTAATTTCCAACGCTTATTATGAGTATATTAATAAATATAATTAATTAATGAATCTCTTATTATCGTTATTTTACGATTCAATGCAGTTATAGCCTTGTAATTTTATTTTACCTGTGTAATTCAAATTATTCTTGATAGCTCCCTCATATAACGATCGATTTTTAATTCCCTCTAGTTGGGTCGATCAACGCAATGATTTTAATGAAGTATCCGATGATCACGGCTTTTAGAACTCATCATTGAAACTCGCTCGTTACGAGTCTAACAACATCGGCGGTGAATGATTCATCAGGTCGATGTCGATGTTTCGTCGATACTCATATGGGCCCCGACCTGCACGAGTCGTGTTCGGAGCAATTCGGAGTCACGTACTAACAACATGGCGGCCGCTCGCGGGACTTGATTCTCGAAGTGATTGCGAACGACGCCGGGCCCCCGTGAGGCCCAGCGCGGGAACTGCGCCGTGATGACGCGATCTCCCTATTGGCTCGCGAAGAGAGAGGGTTAAAGCGTGAGCTACGAAGACGTGGGAGGACCTGCGAGGACGGCACATAGGGCCCTATACCCGGGCCAATAACAAAATCGAGGAAATGACGATCATAGATGCAGTTTCTGACTGATGTGATTTGTAATTTGATTCGCGAAGTGCAAATCGAGATAACGAATTTGTTTCCGCTTTTTATTCCTTACATTTACATTTTATAAAAATGTAAATTAAATGTAATTTAAATTAAAAAATTGATTGATTTTATTTTAATATTTTTAATTTACATTTACAAGCTTTGTTCAGAAACTTCACCTGGGTGCACTCTAGGATTGCCAAATCTAATATCAACATTTCCGGGACATGTCTGAGGCGATGATTAAAAAATAAATTAAATATATTTGAGTTATATTTTTAGTTAGTATTTTCAGAGATTTCAGAGATTAGAGATCCAAATGGATTTCATGATAGTGACGAAAATGCTCTTGCCGCTTTTCCGAGGATGTCGACAAATACAAATCTGGATTTTTTTCTGATATCTTATCGCATATCTCGACTTTCACAGAAAAATTCCTAACAATCCTGATCCTTTGTGGAGCTTCCCGTAAGACTTCCCGACCGTCTGATTTTTCAGCGGAAAACACTATTAGGCCCAATGTGCAACATATTAACTAAATGCTGTAATCCAAGGAAGATTAGTATACCTTTATGATCATCAAGTGGAAAGCAACGGCATAATTTCTGCATAATTCCCATCGACGCATCTACGCGTGTCGACGGCGAAAAACGCGCTTCCCTTGTCAGTAATTCTGCAGGCAAAAATAGGTAGCTTCCCAGACAACGCGCATTGTCTGGAAAACTTCTTCATGATGCCTAAAGAACACAAGTCAACAAAAAACCAAAATGTTATGGTAAATCACTGATAATTTTGTTGCCCTCCAATTACTGCACTTGACTCTCATTGCCAGTGTACTTTTCCTTATTTATTGTTAATATTAGAGAATCTTATTTCGTCACTTCTTACGCTCAAAATGTTATGTAACACTATGTGTTATATTACATTTATATTGTTGAGTACGAAATTGTAACACTGATGTTATCTTACTTTTAGTTTGTGTGACTGGGATATTGTTGGCAACATGACGGGTGCAAGATTGAAGATGCATTCTCTCGATGACATCTCGAGACGAAAATCGCATGATTTCAGGAGTCAAATTTCTAAAAATCCCTTTGTTTCATTATTTATGTCCAAGCTAAACGCTCCCTTCCTCTCTCTCTCTCTCTCTCTCTCTCTCTCTCTCTCTCTCTCTCCCCCCTTTTATTCGACCTTTCTTCCTTTACCAGCTTATAAATCATCGACGTCCGTCGATCTCACGGACTGTACCGCACGGCAGGTGTTACTTCTTCACGCTCGTTCCTCGGCAGAGAGGTAATCTTCGAAAATATTCTACCTGCTTTCCGGCATATACGCACATGTATACAGATACACATTGGAACACATTGGATGTGCACCTGCATTCCAGCATCGTTCGTGTTTCGCGCCGGGCGTCTGGCGAACGACAAAGAGGGACTAGATAAAATTTCAAAAGCGGCCCTTTAAATCCGGTCCCGTCAATGCGACGGAATGCCGGAAAAAAACCAGTCTAGAGAAGCCCGGCTGACGCGACTATTGTACCATCATAGAAAAGCCTTCGCCCGTGTAAATATAACGTATACAAATGCGACAAGGGATATATACCGCGTCAGGCTTCGACGTTGTGATTGACAGAAATCAAAATTGGCCTGAATAATTAAATTTTGTGTAATGAGAAACCTACTAATTTTTATAACGATAACGACTATCGTTAATAATACGTTATTATAATTAGCGCGTGTGAAGCTGGCGCCGCTTAATTCTTAACAGTTTTAAGATTTTATTGTAATAATTAAGTTATGCAACCAAAACCGAATTTTTTATCCCACGTTTTTATTGACGTATCATTTTTATCGATTAAATATCTGGAGACACAGTAGTGGCTCGGCGTTAAGCATAGCTCGAGTCACTGACTACATTTACACGGCACTCGTAATCGAGTTTAATAACATCCGTAGTTATGAAATTGGCCAATCATAGCTGTTCTTTGGAAGAATGGAACAATTGTGATTGGTCAGTTTCATAACTACGATTAAAGATGCTGGGTAAATGTAGTCACTGACCTCCTAGTAGTAGTGCCTCCTTTACGCGAACCGGCGAGTTGTTTCAGATCGAAGTTATCGGATCTCAATAATGGCTGGTTAAGGGGGAGTTTTTTTAGCGAGGTAGGCGATGGGGAGGACGCGGACCTATCGAATCCTGTACACCCAGGAGACCGACCCCTGGGCGTCTTCTCGTCATCCGGTTAGGTCCTCCCTTTAAGAGTATCCCGAATAATGGGCTTTGTGAAGATTTTTCTCCTCTTGCAAAAAAAATATTGGGCCAATATTCATTTTCCAATATTGGGCCAATATTGGCTTTCCAAAAAAACTTACAATTAATTTAAGTTGAGGAAAAGATAATTAAACCTTGTTTTTTTTTTAAATTAAGATACTTAAATTTAAATTTATGAAATACGATTTTTATGTCACTGAAATAAATAATCCTTATATTTAAATATGACAAAATATAATTTTATTTTTAGCGGATAAACTATTATTTTATTTTTTTTTTACAACTATCTGGTAGCAAGCTGACGTCAAAATGACGAGAAAATGAAAAGCTTGCTACATAATGAGATAAATCTTACATAATGTATTAATTTATCTGAAGATAAATTTAAGGCCTGCATATGATTATGAATACATGCAATAGGATCAGTTTACAATAATAAATGTCATTAAAATTAAAAAAATATAATAGAACGTACTGAATTTAAATAAATAAAAAGAAATATATTCAGCTAAGTCTATCTTACTTATATAACAATAATTAATGTAAATTTGTATCTTTTCCTTTTATCATAAATTAATTTCCAAGCAACGCCATCTCGACCACTCTTCGTCAAACAGTAGAAGACTTCCCGCGAGAGTCGATAAATATTTGAAAACTCTATTTTATCATCATTCGGCATCCATCCGAATAAATTGAATCCAGAAAAGATACCAAATCTCGCCGACGGATGTCGCTAGGGGTACTAAAAATCGGAGCACGACGCGCGCAGGCGGCATTCACGGCTACATTCAGGTTGCATCCTATCGGCGCGTGCATCACTCGGGGGCTGAAGCATTTCTGGATCTGCCGCGAGGCTCTAAAGGGAAAATCGATGGCTGGGACGAGGTGTGTTGTCATCGACGGTGAATTTTCATGGACGAGTCGGGACGCGCGCGACTGAGGCAGGAACGTATTCTCGGCGCGACGGCCGCGAGGAGATCGAGAGGAATCTCGCGATTGTAGCGCGGAGCGCGGCCTGCACCCGGGCGGCGTTGCATCCTCGCCGACCTCGCCTCGCGCGCTTGGCCGTCCTCTCACCATGCTACCTGAGAACGTCAGCGTGCATCGGCGACCCACTGGCAATCGCAACGTCCGCGGCACGAATGTCCAACGGAATCTCCGCGCGATGTATCGGATCAGAGTCTGCAATCCGGACTAAGACGGGCGACGATGACGTGCTGGACGAACCAAGTAAACGCTTTTGATGTGCTTCGATATGCCTTTCGATTTTTGACGCAATTAGCGGCATCGGTTTCGGGGTGAATGATGCAATTACAATCGAAATTGTTTAAATACTCGAGCAACACATGTTCTAAAATGTAATAGATAT